GGGGGGGGGCGCCCCCCGGGCCCCCCCCCCCCCCCCCCCCCAGCAGACCAGGCTTTTCTCGCTGCGGAGGACGCGGGCGGCGGGACTGCGGCGCGTCTGGGCGGTCCCGCCGCCCCCGTCCTCCGCGGCGAGAAAAGCCCCGTTCGTATGTAGGGATCCGATGTAAGTTGGATCCACGTAACTCGGGGACTGCCTGTATTCAGTTCCTGCCCCACATTGTTATGTAGCTGTGCACTGTAACACTGTTGTTTTACTCCAGGGTGGCTTGAATGTGGATGGATAATAAAGTGATCTACATACACAAACCTTGCTGGAACCTTCAAAATGGAGGGTACTATTCATTATTATAAACAGTGATCAAATTTTTATCAGAAATTTTTCTTCATCATGAAATCATACAGTTTTGCTTGTTTGCAACCTGCATATGCAATCTGCGTGCCCAGATATAAATCATTATTGCAAATCAGGCTTTAAATATGTTAGCAGAGGTATATGGGATGTCTTTATTATCTAGTTACTTAGTTTCAGAGGGGTAGCCGAGTTAGTCTGTAACAGGAAAAACCTAAACAACAACAAATAGTCTAGTAGCATGTTAAAGACTAACAAAACAAGTAGATGGTATGAGCTTTTGTGGGCGGAACCCACTTCTTCAGATGACAGGGTTGTCATACCATTTATTCAGTTAGACAATTGGCCGTGCAACCATTTATTCAGTTAAGCAATTGGCTATGCAATTATTTTTATTAAGAAGAACTTTGTAATTGTTAAACAATCCTTTTGTCATGTATGCATTTGTGTTATGAGCGTAGGCTCAGAAATATTGTCAACTCACTTTTGGAAATGTGGTATATCTTCCTCATTCAATTTACAACTCAGTCCACATGGAAAGAATTCCACTAAGATTTTCATCCCAAATCTTCAGTCCACTAATTCTACATTTCAGGTTTTGTAAACTCAATTTATGAATTCTGTGTATATTTTAATTCTTCTTTTCCTAACTTCCCCTCAAGGGCTTCGTTTCACATCTGCTGTAGCCAACTTAAGAACCATTGAGGGTGAAGTGGACACACAGGAAAACGAAGTTGTTGCCCCAGATTTCACCAATCGAAATCCTCGTAACTTGGAGCTGCTGGCACTAGCAAGGAAGGAACGAGGCTGGGAGACAACATGGCCCAAAAGAGAGTATTGGCATAGGTGAGTCAGAAATCTATTAACAATAATACAGGCTTAACAAAATACATCTTGGAATATAACTTTAAATTGTGACTTCCACACTGCAATAGTTTTAGGGCTGTTGCTATATTGCAGTTAATTTGCGCAATTAACTCAAACAATTGCAATTAAAAATATTAATTGCAATTATTCACAGTTCTAATTGCACTGTTAAAAACAGAATCCCAGTTGAAATTTATTAAATATTTTGGATGTTTTTCTACATTTTCAAATATATTGACTTTGGTTATACTGCAGAATACAATGTATACATTGTTCACTTTATATTATTTTAACATTTGCTCTATCAAAATAATAGTATTTTTCAGTCCGCTTCATACATGTACTGTAGTGCAATCTCTTTGTCTTTGAAAGTGCAGTTTACAAATATAGATTTTTATTACATAACTGCACTCAAAAAGAAAACTAGTGTAAAAATTTAGAACCTGTAAGTCCATTCAGTGCTACTTGTTCAGCCAACCACTAAAACAAACAAGTTTGTTTACATTTAGAGGAGACAAGAAGTGTGCAGTATTATTTACAGTGTCACCTGAAAGTGAGAACAGACATTCACATAACACTGTATAACCATGCTAAACATTTGTATGCCCCTTCATTCTTGGGCCATTATTGCAGAGGATGTGCTTCCATGTTAACGATGCTCATTAAAACAATGCACTAATTAAATTTGTGACTGAACTCTTGGAGGGAGAATTGTATGCCTCCTGCTCTGTTTTACCTGCATTCTACCATATATTTCATTTCATATATAGCAGTCTCAGATTATGACCCAGCACATTTTTTTCATTTTAAGAACACTTTCATTGCCAATTTGACAGAATGCAAAGAAGATACGATCCACACGTAACCCAAGTTTAAGAATCTGAGGTGTCTTTCAAACTCTGAGGATGAGGTGTGGCACATGCTTTCATTATTCTTAAAAGAGCAACACTCCCATGCAGGAAAATATAGAACCCAAACCACCAAAAAATAAAATTAGTCTTTTGTAGGTGGCACCTTAATAAAAATGAATAAGCACTCGCCTGTATTGTTTTGGATTGTCTTCTGGGATGGCAGTTGAAGCTGAAAGGGGCATATGAATCTTTAGCACATCTGCTATGTAAATATCTTGCAATGTTGGCTATATCAGTGCCCATGTGAACACCTGCAGGTCTTTTCACTTGCAGATGACACACAAACGAGAAGTGAACAGTATTATCTCCTGAAAATGTAAACAAGCTTGTTCGGCTAAGTGCTAAAATGAGAGAAGTAGGACTAAGTGGATTGCTAAGCTATAAAGTTTTACATTGTTTTATTTTTTAACGCCGTTTTTGTACATAATTTTACATTTGTAAATTCAACTTTCATGATAATGATATTGCATTATAGTACTTTTACAATGGGGGAATTGAAAAATGCTATTTCTTTTTTTAGCAGAAATATTTGTAATAAAAATACGAAGTGAGCAATGTAAATTTTGTATTCTGTGTTGTAATAGAAATCAATATATTTGAAAATGTAGACAACATCCAAAATATTGAAATAAATGGCATTTTATTATCGTTTCAAAGTGCAATTAATTGCATAATTAATTGGGATTAATTTTAATTGCTTTATAGTCCTATTATTTTTACTTAGATTAAACTGAAGATTTCATTCCATTCAGAAAACAAGATGCACCTTACAGCTTGCTGAGTGCCTACTCTCTGAAAATTGGGGTTCTTAATGGTGTTCTATTTGGGCAACCAAAGTCACTAACCATTCTTAAAATACTGTGGCCAGTAGTTTCAACTTACCAATAAATAGAAATATTAGCAGTTAGAATTTTTTGTTTATGATTCCAAATGAAATAGAATACTTGTGGATAAGCTTTTAATTCCAGAGAAATATCTTGTATTCTGAATAGCATTAAATAGTCAGTTGAATTTAAATAAACATATTGTTGTATGAAAATTATTGCTTTGAGGTTCCATTTATAAAAGTATGAATATAGCACTGGACAAAATTATCTGTAAAATAATTTTATCACTGAAAACATTAAATGAGAACTTGCAAACTTTTGAACATGCAATAACTTTTTTCAGCCTTAAAACATGTTTCAGAAGTTTTACTTAGAGTTCTTGTTACCTCTTCAGAGTTGTCATTTACTGTACTCTGGTATGTTCAAAAGAAAATATTCAGAATCCCACCCCCGGATATTTCCCCTAATAATGTCCCTTAAAAGAAAATATTTAGATAATTAATATAAAAATCCATGAATCAGCATTACGGATGTTTTAGTGCTTTTCTTTCTACTTTGAGTGAGCAACATAAAAATTAATGATGTCCTTAACTGTTTAACTATCCTTGTTTTAAAATTTAGAAATGATGCCAGTGTCACATGTATTGTAAGTTACGAGCTCTTTTATTTTTTCTTAAGTTTTGTTTTCAGAGTTGTAAACAAGTAACCATAAAAGTGTAGGGCTGGCCTTGTGGTCCTCAAGTCCAGCTCACTGTGCAGTGAGAATCACATAAAGCTAGACTATCCATGACAGGTGTTTGACAACTTTTAAGAACAGGTTAGATGATGGAGATACCACAATCTCCGTTAGAAACGTATTATAGAATGTAGCTATCCTTAAATGTTTTAAATAGTTAATTTTTTTCTCCTAGTTAATAGTATATCTCCCCAGATGCATACTACTGAGGCTGTCTTTCTTTCGGTGTGACACTAAAATAATAAATAATGAAAAGGAGTTCTTGAGCATTTATTCGTTCCTTCTGCGATTAGCTTTTGTGTTCCATATGTATTTTTTCCCTCATCCAGACTACGGCTTGAGCGGACACAGCGATATGTGGAAGCCTTTGTTGAGCACTGCAGTGGAAATGTTGTTGTTTCAGCCTCCACCCGTGAGTGGGCCATAAAGAAACATCTGTACAGTCCCAAGGGAGTGGTAGCATGTGAAAATATTGGCCGTGTAGTGGCACAACGCTGTCTGGAAGCAGGAATCAACTTTGTGAACTTTAAAGCTGTTATCCCATGGGAATATCGCTGCGACTCGGTAAGTGTCCATCTCCTTGCACTTGATTTCTTTATACAAGTTTTACTGCTTTTGAACACTAACATGATTCTTGGGTGGCTCATGCAATGCATCTTAACAAGAGAGAACTATGCTATTCCCTCTTCTTTCACCCCAGCACCATGTGGACATCCTACCAGAGCACTTCCTTCTGACCAGCAACATCTTCCGCTATTGCAATACAGGGGACTCCATGGCACTGGATCTCAACACTAATTTATAATATCCCTGTTATTCCAGTACTGTCAGATTTAATGGGGGGAGGTAATAAGAGGGATGAAAACTACTTTAAACCGTCATATTTTACAGCTGTTTGCTTTCTTTAAAACCAGATCCAGCGATTCCAAAAGGCTTTGACAGATGGTGGTGTCATCGTGGGTGAGCCTCGAAGAATCTATCAATAAGATGGAGATGGGGGAAAATTTCCTATAAAGAAACGTCAAACAACTGTTTTCATACAGGAGTGGATACAGAAGCAATTCAGGTCCCGAACTTGGACAATGTAGAGCATAGCATCTTGTAATAATGAAGAGATGCTCCTTTTTTTCTTCTTTTTGTTCACTTGTTCAAATGTTTTAAGATCATATGATCCATCTAATCACATCACAGTTTGACTCAGTAACTACTTCTTCAATCCAATATCTTGTGGTTGAGTTAGATCAAGACTAGATTTGTAGAAATCCGGTCTTGATGTAAACTTCAAGTAATGGAGAATGTACCAAATCCCTTGCTATGTTTTTCATGATTAATTACACTCACATCATTTAAATAAAATTTAAAAAGCTTGCAAGGTTTTTTTTTCTAGTAGATTGTAGCTATTGGATGCCTTTAATCTAGCTGACACTGCTATATGAAATCTTCTCATTTTGTAGGAGAAGAGGTGACATGACACAAACAAAATTAAACTTCCCCAAACTAGTTTTGTAGCCATTTTTAATTCTTTTCAGTTCAATCAGCATGCTTTTTGATGTGTGGACATTAGAAGTAGAAAACACATTTTTCCCAGTGCTATATACAGAAGTAATACTATTTCCCTATTTTATAGTCCCTTGCTTATGCATCGAAGAATCACATTAGCCACAGCATCCCACTGAGAATTCATGTTTACTGATCATGATCCCTGAATCTTTTCTAGAGTTGCTGGATTACAATCCACTGCATTTTACTTTAATTTGGCTTTATTAAAAGCCTTGAATTTGGCTTTATTAAAACACATTTTCAAATGAGCCCAGTTTAACAAGCAGCCCAAGTTGCTCTGTGTAACTGACCAGTCATTTACTACATGATGTAAAAAAACAGACTTCACCAGCATTAATTTTATATTTTTCAAATAATAAATAATGCACTAGTATGAGGCCAAGAATTGGTCCTGGTCAGTTGCCATTTAGAAGCTTCCTTTGGGTGACTATTTCTCTCTAACTTTTTAAAATTTACTAAGCGGTAATTTTAAAATCCATGGAGTATTGACTTTTTAAATCATTCATTACTAAATTAAACCCCTTTCAGAAATGGTTGTATAGCAATCAATGTTACTTGTAAAAAGCAACCTTATAAACATTCATATGCTATCAACCTTTAATTATTTACTGATTGTTTTCTGTATTAGTCTTTCCATGGTTCTCCCCAGGGTCCTCCATTACCTTTTTAAAATATTGGCATAACCTTATTTTTTTCAGTCCTCTGGAAAAATTAAATGTCAGTGAAATTGACCAATTGCAATTCTTTCAAACAAATTGCAGAAGAGATAAAGCTTAAAATGCTGTAGATGGTATTTATATGTATAACATACTGCATAATTTATTCTCTTCAAATTTATATCAATAGGGTTACCTCCCAAAGCTAGAAGATTTGCATGTCTGCCATACAGTCTTCCAGTAGTTGCTATAGGTCTGGTTAAAGCTGGTGGCCTGTTTTCTACAGAAGGCTAATTTGTTGTGTGTCTATCTTAAAAGAAAAAGCTCTCATCACAGTACATGCTTTTTAAAAGGGCATAGCTGTAGTATAGTGTATTCCTAGTTGTATAATAATTTGGTTCTCTGGATGAAGTTGCTGCCATAATGGGTTGGAAGTCTAACTTTTTGGAACCAAGGATGTAAAACTCATTATTGCTAATCAATTATTATATGATTCCAAATAAACTACAGCAGTGAACAGTTTAAATGCTTGAGCAGAAGAGGACATTGCACAACCATACAGTTTAATATATATGATTACTAAGATTCCAGCTCTCTCCTAGCTTTTGGAACATATTTGTTGCCTGTCTTGTATTTTTTCTTCTTCTCCATCCCATAAGGGCTACTCGGGGAGCTAGGTGGTTGACTTTGGCACAGATTTGTGTCTTTTCCTATCGTTCCTAAAGGGCTGCTGTGAGATGGAACGGGGCAGAGCTCTCTGCTCCAGGGCACCTTCTCTTCTTCCCGCTAGGTTCCTGGGCCTAGAGGAAAGAAGACTGCGGACCTTGGAGCAATACTTGGCTGGGATGAGAGTCGCCTATGAAGAAGGGGGGGGGGGTGCACCCCGTTAGAGACGTTAAGGACTAGTTGACTATCAGATAAGCAAATGCTTATTGGATAGTCGACTAGTTGCTTCCCCCCTCCTGCTCTATTTGATAGAGCCCCTGCCAGGGCATTTCAAATAGAACAGTCGATACACAAATGCATCCACTACTCCTCGATTAGTCAGTTCCAGGATACTTAACATCCTTACTCCCCGTCCCTACCCCTGATTCCATGAGCGGCCGCTGCAGACTGTAGCCCCCTCCCGCCTTCTAAAGCAGGTCCAGGGAGCAGCTTCCTTGCTGTGCTGGTACGTTCCCTTTAACAGAATGAGAGACTATGAGGGGAAAGGCCGGGGCTCACGTGACGAACTAAAAGCTGATTCGCTGCTGTTCCTGTCAATCAAGCAGACGCGGCCGCGAGGCGCTAGCGAAGACCCGGCAGCACGCGGGCTTCTCTGCGGCCCCGCCTTCTAAAGCAGGTCCAGGGAGCAGCTTCCTTGCTGTGCTGGTACGTTCCCTTTAACAGAATGAGAGACTATGAGGGGAAAGGCCGGGGCTCACGTGACGAACTAAAAGCTGATTCGCTGCTGTTCCTGTCAATCAAGCAGACGCGGCCGCGAGGCGCTAGCGAAGACCCGGCAGCACGCGGGCTTCTCTGCGGCAGAAGCGTCCAGCCCCCCCCAGCTCCGAGAGCCCGGCCGCCTGCTGCCCCGGCCTCCCCGGGAGCCTTGCTGTGTGTTCACACTAGGTCACCCCTGCTGTCCTGGGGGTGGGACTGCGGCAGCCCTATCAGAGCCCACGTGCTCGTCCTACTACCAGTGAAGCGCCTGGAGCATCGAGGCATCACTTCACCTGCTTGCTTGCCTTTGGCAAACGGAGCAGGATGGACCCCTGATGCGCTCAGCTGCCAGATCGGCTCTTGATTAATGGATGATCTTTTCAAGAATTTGCCCCTCCTCCAGGCTCATAAATGCTCTCCTCTCGCCTCCAATTATGTCCAACA